TTTAGACAAATGTCTTCCCGAGAGACAGCACAGCAGCAACTGGCATGTCATGACAAGCAGCACATATTCAGAAGACCAGAAAGACAGGCACTCCAAGCATGAACCTGCTATTACAGATTACCATCTTCAGCGCAGTTAACAAAGCACTGAATTCTTGGTAAATCGCGGTGATTGAAACACCCCAATCTTAATATAGCAAGGTGGCACATATCTGGGTTCCCAACAGTCAAGGAGCTAGAAACTATCAATACTTCTACCAAGCGTGAGAAACGTAATAAGATCTGAGAAACAAAATTAAATAAAAAAGGAAAAACAGAATAAACTTAGGGGGATGTAGCTCAAGTTATTCTTACTGAGTTCACTCCCTATACATTACAAAATATCAAATAAGCCTTCAAATCTTTAGTATGTGAGAGAAACCTCCTCCCACATCAGTGATGATGGCTGTCCTATTTTTAAATCGGCAGTAATACTAGTTTCCTAATTTTAATTTTTGCCACAATTATTAGGCAAGTTTTCTTCTTTTGTTAAGGCCTGTCTCCTTTGAACTAATCTCAGAACAAGCCAGCAAGGGACCCTTCTTTTATGATCAACTAAGAAAAACCTGACTTCTAGAGAAATCTACCGCTGTAACTGCGGATTTTTGCCATCCTCCCAAATCCCCTATTTTCCCATTTTTGTTTCATTCCCATTTGCTCTTGCCTATTCAAACATTACTTCTATTCTATTCATTCAAGTACCTGCTGACTCAGAACTTTCCTTTCCTGAGCAAAGAGGAAAATGTTACAGATGGTAATGCGGCGCCAAAGATTAGGAAGATCTGTCTGGAGGTAGCAGGGAGCTACCTCCAGACGCCATAGCTGTTTCTGACCACTTTCGTCCACAATACAACCTATTGCATCCCATCCCTATTTCCCGTCCCATAACGTCACCATTGCGTGGCTTTAAGGTCTCCCAGAATCCTTCAAATGTAGTTTCCTTGCCAGTAGAAAGCAGAGAAAAAGGAGCGTAGTCAACTGGAGATCTCCACAAGGCGCTCACTGCAGCGCCATGATACAGGAAGTGCCCGCCCCCCTTGGCCCACCTGATTGCGTCGTTCAGACACACCCCTTCTATTCTGAGGCGCTCTTGCTGCACTGCCAACCAGCTGCACCTAGCGTGAGGGGAGGAACAAACTACCAGAATGAAAGGATAACTTGTAATTCCGGAAATTCTGGACTATTCGTTTCCCTTAGATGGCAATCTCACCTCGCCTGAGGAAGACTTGCATGTCAGGGCTTCACTTCTGCCTTTTCAGAGCTGGCCTAGGTTTCTTAATGGACTCAGTGGACTCTTCCTGACAGTGCTTTGTAACCTCCAGTATCTATAATGTGCTCCAAAGATTCCGAGGTCAAAGTCCTGTGAAAGAATTCATCCTCTGATGACAGAAAAGGTCATGAAGCCCGGCCAGGTCAGGATAAAATGTAATAAAGTGAGGTCTTGCTGTTAGGAATGAGGCAGTCTATTTCATTGCCAAGTCTTTCACACAGTCTCTCTGCCTACTCATTTTTATCTCTGAAAAGTACATCGTCACCAAGAATACATTACTGTGTAAATGAAGAAATTAGAGTTGCATAATAGCAAGGTTCTGCAAAAGAGTAAAAATGAAAGAAAACCAAGCATTCCAACTCCCTCAGACAACTTTCACAGTTTTTCAAAGGCCATAAAAATACTTGAATGCTGAAGATAAACATATTTCCCAGAAGGAAGGCCAGAAAGACTGCTGAAACAGTCACACATTTGATCCATTACTGGTGGCGAGGCTGGGATACAAAAGAACTTTAGGATATAATCTCCCCCATACCATATCTTGACTCATCACAAGTTGAAATTCTCCACCTTGTAACACTAATTTCCCTAGAAAAATTTTACATGAGTCAAGGGACACACTTGTGGTAAATAACTTGCTTGACTTGAGAGATATATGGGATATTAGTAAAGTACACTTCTTGATGTGTCTGACAGGAATGAAAAGGAGACCTCAGGGAACCATTCCTCTCAGCTTATGTCCTTCTATCTGGATCCCGAGTACCTCAAATTTGGTATCTTTGTCCTTTATTTCTATTTACCATGATATTTCTGCATTAGAAGACCTCGATTCAAGTCTTCAGTCTCAGAAATTATGAAACAAACCTTTTCTTTGTATGTCAGGAATTTTCCTCTGTGACAATAGCAACAACAACAACAAATCATTACAATCCCTATGAGGTATCTGTTTTCAATAAGCTTTCAAATACATCAATTCATTTTGCAGATTATTTCCTAATGTGCTATAATTTTTCTTCCTTTTTGTTAGGTAAGGTTGATCAAATATGTACTATGAATTATGAGATGATATTAGGTTCTATTTGGGATTTGAACTGGATACCTACAGGTAGAAGAGGGATTACTTTCTGTGAGACTTCATGTTCCCTCATGGTCTACATTCGAAAAATGTTTAATTAGTGTCTTTTTTCCATGCTCAGCATACTCACCTACCTTTGCTTCCAAATATTTTCTCTGCAATCAACATTGTTTTATCATTGCCTGGAAAAATCATTTCTCTCATTGATACTACTCCAAATAAAGTTCCACCCTATTCCATAAACTAGTGACTTTCAATGACAATTTCCTTATATTATAATCTCACATCATCTTGTTTTTTGCTTTTTTTTTTTTTTTTTTTTTTTTTTTGCTCTGAATGCCTTCAGGGCAGGTTTGGCTGGCTTGAGTGGTGGGGATTGAACTGCACCAACTTGAGCCTGACTGCTTTGTTGAAGCAGCCACTAAAAGAACTGAGCTAAGGGGCAGAAATGAGCTAAGGGGCAGGCCCCCTCACAACATCTTGTTCTTTAAATTTTTTTTCACAAACCACTACTATGAAATTCATGCTCATTTGATTGAGAAACATCATATTTGCTGAGAGACAGGAATGACTATGAACAGAGCTCTTCAGTGACCTCAGCTTCTTGTGTAGTTCAAGTTCAGAAATTCTCTTACAGTCAAGCATAAGAGAATTACAGGCATGGGATGCATGTCTGTGATCCCAGCACTCAGGAGACTGAAGCAAGAAGGACTGTAGCAAGTTTGAAACTAGCCTGGGCTACAAAGCAAGCCGATAGCCAGCCTGAACTGTATAATGAGAAAAAGACAAAAAAGAAAAAAAAAAAAAAGAAATTCTCACACAATGAGCATGATGGATTGCAATAAAGTGTGATAAGGTAAGCCAAGTGTCCATAGATGTTTAGTGATGTTGAAATGCAATGATGAGGTGTGAGAGAAGACATCTGGAAAGGATGCAATATAAATGAGACCAGAAACATACATACTTATGATTTGAGTCAAATGGTGACATGGAGAATCACTTCATAGATAGAAGAGACAACATATATATTTCAGGGCACACACAGATAAAAGTGTCATTGTTACATTGTGTGAAACTTATGAATTATTAAGAGTGTTTTCTCAAAAATCATTTTCATATACAACTTCATATCATTGGGAAATTCTTCATGGGTTTTTCTGAGTTATCACTTAGAAGGGTAACTCCTAGCTATTAATGAGCCCTTCATTCATGTGAAAAGTTCTGTGCAACAAGATTCCAGGTATCGTTTCTCTCTCCCATCGCCATGGCCTCCTATAAGCTGGTGCTCATCCAGCATGGCGAGGGTGCCTGGAACCTGGAGAACTGTTTCAGCGGCTGGTATGATGTTGACTCGAGCTTGGCAGGCCACAAAGAGGCAAAGCACGGCAGGCAGGCTCTTTGAGATGCTGGCTACGAATATGATATCTGCTTCACCTTAGTGCAGAAAAGAGCAATCTGGACCCTCTGGACAGCACTGGATGCCACTGACCAGATGTGGCTGCTGGTGGTGAGAACTTGGCATCTCAATGAGCGGCCTTAAGGGGGCCTGACTGGCCTTAATAAAGCACAGACAGCTGCCAAGCACAGCAAGGCCCAGGTGAAGATTTGACAGTGCTCCTACAATGTCCCACTACCCCTGATGGAGCCTGACCATCCCTTGCACAGCAACATCAGCAAGGATTGTAGGTATGCAGACCTCACTGAAGATCAGCTGCCTTCCTGTGAGAGTCTGAAAGACACTATTGCCAGAGCTCTGCCCTTCTGGAATGAAGAAATTGTTCCCCAGATTAAGGAGGGGAAAAGGGTGTTGATTGCAGTCCATGGCAACAGCCTCTGGGGTATAGTTAAGCATCTGGAAGGTCCCTCTGAAGAAGCCATCATGGAGCTGAACATGCCAACTGGTATTCCTTTTATCTATGAGTTGGATAAGAACTTAAAGCCATCAAGCCCATGCAGTTCCTAGGGGATGAAGAGACCATGTACAAAGCTGTGGAAACTGTGGCTGCCCAGGGCAAGGCCAAGAAGTGAAGACCACCAGCAGCCTGTGCCCCATCCACCCACCCTCCACACCTCTCCCTGCCTGTCACACTGACCACATCTGTAGGCGTCCTGGTTGTAGCTGCGGATGGGGACCAGTGGCTCCCATTTCCCTTTTAGCATTTCCGCTCCTACACCCGCTGCCTTGATAGAATCTAGTCAGAACAGGACCTCTAGGACACAGGCTCTAGTTCTCAGTCCAATCCCAGGGAAGCCTCTTCTTACCCATGAGAGTTGAGAGGTAGTATCTATCTAGTGCTTCTGCTTTGTAAGGACCTGCTTGAGTAGGGGACAGGGATAACCATGCCAAGGCACTACCAGCGAGGAACAGCCTGAGCATGCTGCTCCCCAGAGCCAGCCCTGCGCTCTTCTGTAATCCAGTCAGTCAGCGAGCTCTATACATTCCAGTGAGAGATGAATGTAACGTACTTGGTGATTGAAGTACAGTTTCTTCCCTCACCCTAGAGGAGCTGGCTCCAGAAGGTTGGGATTAATCCTGAATTAAGTTTATGTATTCAGGGATAGGGAGATAGCTCAGTAGAATAAGTGCTTGCCTGGCAAGTTCAAGGTCATGCGTTCAATCCCTAGTACTGAAAAAAAAAAAAAAAAAAAAAAGGGGCACACTTCTCTTTGTTTGGGGCAGAT